TTCGAGACCCCATGCGGGCTTTTTCTCCCTGTACGTGAGGCCAAGTGTATAAAGTCGACCCTCTTCACCGCTACTACCACGTACCCCGACTACTACCCTCGGGCCTATCAAATATTTACACCGCGGATGATAGTATATACGCATAGAGAGGGATTCGCGAGTATATTTTAGCCGATCGTGTGCGCGAGGAAAGTTTTATGTGCCCCATGGCGTGCGTGACGTATATACACGTGTGATTACGTCGACGACGGTGGAGCTTTGCTCCCAATGTGGTGGTTGCGTTATTATACTTTGTTGGTTTCCGATCTCCGAAGCGTTTGCCATTCTTTTTTTTTTTTTTTTTTTTTTTCCCCGCGCGCTTTTTTTTACGGAAGAATAGAAACTTGCTTTCTCGAAAGCACTTTCGACGCGTGCTTTACGAGAGTCCACGGTAATTAGCCTCGTCTCGAGTGCGTTGCTCCCTCGGCGCGATTCATGAAATTTTAATGAAACAAAGTGTGCTCGCGATGAATTTTACCTCGCAAGCCATATGTAATTTTGCGATTTTTCCACAGCACTGTATACTCTCGCGTGCAGTCTAAACTATTTGTTGGTCGCGATCAATCGCGTGGAAAAACTATGGTGGTCGTGAGGCTATTAATTTCTTTCCCCCTTTTCTCGGTACTCGGTGATGTTTTTAATTTGCAAGACCAATCTAATCCCTCTTGAAGTTTCGTCAGGCAGCGAGTAAATTTTCTGGAAAATTCATACAAAGATCACTGAGAAATCGAAGATGGGCGGAAAAATTTAATAGAAAAGTCACCCAGTTTTAAACCAGAATGCGAGCCAAGAGAAAGAGCTGCATCGCGGCGCGTAAAATACATACATCACGTGTGTGACGATAATCTTACGACATGCTAAAAGCGCGGACCACGTAATGTATACACTTCATTTCGCGCCGGCTACAAATCTCACGGTAATCTCGGCTCGTAAAACGCCGCGACTCTGTTGAAAGCCACGATTTCACGGCCACGATTGTAGTACCTTATTATACGTTACGTGGCACGTGTTAGAGAGAGAGAAAACAGTTATCACATTTCGCGAGCTACTATTTTACAGTAGGTGTACATTTATATCTACGCGTGGTGGTGAATTCAAGTTGAAGCGTGACTCTCTTGTGGGGACAAAAGGTGTGTCTCCGGAACGCAGACATAGTCGTAAATTATACACGGCGAGTGGTACACGTGGGTGGATTGTGTTTCACACACATATATATATATATATATACACTCAACTGGTGCACCGAAAAGTCTTTTGGAAAAAAGTTTTTTTTTTTTTCCTCCGAAACAATTACTTGAATTTTTATTTGTTACTTCCATTTGAGCAACGAGAAATCAAAGCGCGCTTCCACGCACTAATCGATCATTCAGATACCAACTTGTGAGAACAATTATTATTGTCCCATGGATAAATCTACGTAATATTACGTATATAATTATATACGTCTCTAGAAACAATTTGGTTTTCCCTACGAAAATTTATTCAGAAAATTGAGATCCATTGCCTCGACTCCCTTTCTCGCTCGCTGTAGCTTTCGCCGACTAGTGAGAGAGAGAGAGAGGCATTAATTAACCTGGACTGGGCCCGGTCCAATGGTAAAAATAGCCCCGAATGGAGCCATTCACGAGTCCGTGGCAGCCCTGCGATCAATCTCGAGAGTGTAAGCGATCGGAGGGAAGCCCAACCCAAGAACGACTTCCTCGTGTGGGTACAGGCCACGCAGTCGTCGTATAATATAAAAGGTGTGGGAGTCGAGGGCACTTTGTCTGGATCAGCCGAAAAGCGTGTAATGACAAAGGGGTTGGGCCGATGTATATGTATATGTACATATACACGTATCGGCACCCCCAATGCCGCTCTCTCTCCTATTTATCGAGGACACGATTGCCGATTTGTCTCTGTCTTTCGCCCCCCGGACGCGCGCGTATTTTTCGACGCCCGGCGTTGTCGATTAAAATTTACAGGGGCACGGGATTTCTCGCCACGCTACGGATCAAACTCCTCCCACGACCTTCGCAAAGAGAATCTCTCTGACCTAAATTGGAGTGCGCGCGAAGGTTATCCGTTTCTTCCCCCTCCATTATACTTTATACGTACGTGGTGGGGGGAAGTTAATTGCGAGGCTGTTTTTTAATTATCATCCGGTGCCGGTGCACGGAGAGCGAAAAAAAAAGGCCGAGTGGGGTGCGTGGATCAGGGTGAAGGTACGCGAGAGCGCGCTGACGAGTTTAAAATAAGTGGAAATAGCTGCCTTTTTTTTTTTGTTTTAATGTATTTAATTTAGTTTCGCGCAAATTTTAACACCAGAGGGACAATAAACGAGCATGGTTTTGGTGTCTTACACGTGTATATTGAACGAGCACAAATTGATACATAGGGAAACGACAATTGGATGAATGCAAGTCCGGACGATTATATGTAGAATATAAGAGAGTCGAGACGAGCCGTTCGGTGCATATTTATAGTATGGATGCAAAAATAAACGCGAAACGAGCAGAAATAGCTGAATGTTTATTGACCAGGTCTATAAATATGCGGACGCGAGAACGGAGCTGACCGCGTGCTTCGCGCGATCGGAAATAAAACACGCGGCGCCTGCAACGTAAAAAAAAAAAAAAAAAAAAAGAACAAAAGTATATAGCCTTTAACAAATTCATTGACTCTGCTTGCGAGACGAGGGAAAAAAAAAAAAGTGTCCACTAGTTCAGAAACAACATCACGCACCTACATGTATAGTTGATACGATGAATGATGATAAATGAGAAGGAGGGAAAAAAAGGAAACGTCGTGTCGAGCATGAAAACAAAATTGACCTTGTCCTCACGCGACGACGCCGACGTGGAATTCCGCGGGGGAAAAAAAAAGGAGAGTGTGAGAGCCTTGTGATTTGCGCACACTTTGTCGATGGTATAACATATATATACTAAAAGAGTATATAATAGGGCTCTCGGTGGAAAAATTCCGAGAGCCGAAGCTTTTCCACGACCGTGCGTCACGATGTGGTACTCGCGGGCCTGTGCATCGCGTCTGTAATTGAGATGACGGGGCTGTGGGTGTGACCTACAGAGGCGAGATGTATGCGATCGGAAATAAGGAGCAGTGAATGGAAGAGGAAAATAAAGTGACCTTCGGGTAATGTCTTTTCGTACCCTCCTTCGCCTCGTATATGCTTGTGTATATATTATGTACACCAGAGTTGTGAGGTAACGGAGGTAGGACGCCCGTGAAATTTAACGAGCTCTGTTGTAACAAAGTGCGCCGCGGAATGGTCGTACACCGAGAAACTCCATTTGATAAAGAAAAATTCGAATTTATTCGTACGTACCTTCGTTCGGGTGGACTCTTTCTCCCGGTTCATGAATAGTACTTTTTTCATCTCCCCCCCCCTCCCCCAAAAAAAAGAAGAAGAAAATAAAAATTTCCATTGATAAAAACGTGGTATGGAAAAAGGGAGCAAGCAAAATAAAGGAACGACTGTACTATGTCTCGTGTGTACAGTTGGTAAGTATACGTGCTCGAGTTGGGAGAATTTGAAAGAGAAGGCGTAGTAGCAGGGCACGCGATGCCTCGCGCACATTACGTCTATTATGAGCGAGTAAGAGAGAGAGAGAGAGAAAGAGCCATCACAAGGTGGTTGTTGCCTTTATTTATGGATAGGTCGCGAGAGAGTCTCAAAACGTGGGCGGCCGGGGAGTATAGGTATATATGTACCTACGTGGTATAAGTACATTGCAAGGAAAATAAAAGAAACGAGAGAGAGGGAGAACCGACGTACCTACTGTCGTGTACGCGCTTCGTATGTATCTATAAAGGTTCGCGGGACCTAAATATAGCACGAGTGTGCGCAATGCTTGTAAAGTCTGGCCACGGCTATATGGGCTACGGTACTACGTAGGAGACCGCGCGATAAGAGATCCAGATGTGTGTGTTTTCTTGTGTGATACAGGTGGTGGAAAATGTACAGCCATTAGCGTATGATTCCACATAAAAATAATTATCTCTTTGAAAAAAGAAACAAATAAAACACATTCATATATCAGTGGAGATGGGTGAAAATTCGTAAACTATACCCTCTACTAAGTGTGTTTGTTTTCTCTCTCTGCCGATCATTTTTCTGTACATTCATTTGTCTTGTGGATTCAAGTAATGGCTGGGTCCAATTAAATTTCAAAACCTTATATTTTTTTGTGGAATCACTCGCGTTTGCCAAAGTTACCTACGTGTTGCAAGAAACGAGATTTTTTTTTTTTCACCTGCCCATCTATTCAGGTCTCGCGGACGCTCTTCTCTTATTTTTTTTTGCCCGTGTACCGTGTAAAAGTACGTGCTGGCGTCAATTGACAGCCCGCACGTTTTTCTTTCCTTTTACGTGCGGTAAATGGCGCGTTGAAATTCCCGTCTTTAGTCGGGGCATTAGGCGTTTTTTTTTTTTTCTTCTCAACTTTGGTAAAAATATGCGCTCCCAGACGTTCGTAAAAGTATGGGCGCAATGCAAACGCCAAGTGCGTCTTTATTTCTCTCTCTCTCTCGAGAGTGAAAAGATAGCTCCGCCACTTGCTTCGCGAGGGTTCGGAATGTGCTCCGGCACTGCCGAGGAATTTACTGCACGTATATACCCTATGCTGCAACAACTGCACGTATATACTCTGGATTTCTCCCTCTACGGAGGATGACTACGACCGTTTTCTTTTCAATAGTCTTTTTGCGTTAGATTTTTTTCTTCCTTCCTTGGGTACAGTCCGCTTTTATGTTAACGTTTCGACCCAATATTTGGAACGAATGAATTTTCAGTCCATATCGTTTTCTTTACTCTCTACACTGATAAATTTTTTATCGGAGCAAACGTGATTTTTGTTTGCTTACGAGAAATATTTGCCCTCGCACATTGTATACATAATATATGTACACCCAACATCGGAATGTTCGTACTAAATGAAAAACACGTTGGTCTTGTGTTTCAGGCTGTGCACGCTGACGTTGACCCGCCTGGTGATACTCCGGCCGCTGGGCTCGGACCTAGCCTCGGTGAGCATAGCCGTGAAGATGCAGAGCTCGAAGCGAACGCTGCGCTCGAACGAGATGGCAATGCCACCGGGTGGTATGCTCGACACCGAGCTCGAGCTCCAGTTTGCCCTCCAGTACCCGCACTTTCTCAAACGCGACGGCAACAAGCTGCTCGTGCTCCTGCAGAGGCGCAAGCGCTACAAGAACAGGACGATGCTCGGGTACAAGACCCTCGCCGAGGGTGTCATCAACATGGCGCAGGTTGGTCAATTTTTTTTTTTTTTCATCCCCCACCTCAGTATGGAGGTTCACCCCGAGTCGACAAAATAACTTGTAAGAATTTTTATTGTTTAATCCTCTTTTTATTGTACATTTTACTTTTTCATTCACTATCGTATTTTCGCTTTCCTAAATGAACATTTACGCAATTACCTGCACACTCGATTGATCTCGGAAAAGCATCTCTCGTTCAAACAACGCTGCATCAGCTAATGCTCAGAAAAGAAAAGAGTCCCCTCGGTCGCGTATAGGTGTGCGGACAAAACGCGACATGACACGTTTGATTGCACTCGCGGTAAAAGGGAATTTTTTTTTTTTTTTTTTTTCTAACAAAGCACTTGGCTCGATGTGCACGTGTATCCGCTTCCTGGTGTAGTGCACGTAAGAGATCGATTTTCCGAGAGGAACGGAGGCGGGTTAATCCGCACAGTCTAAATAGGTCGCCGTGCCTTTGGCACTAAGGTATACACGTATCTTTGCTTGCACACTCTGTATTAATTGCGAAAAACGAGTAGACTTATACATACGGTTCATTTTTCGAATGAAGAGGTCAAGTGTGCTATGGAGGTGATGCGGGTGCTTCGCGCAAATTTCCGACTCTGCTCTCTTGAGCCGAACCGGTGGAAAAAAAAAAATTCAACACATTTTGGGCACCGATTCGGCTCAAGGGGTAATTGCACATATAATATATTGACGTAATGGTCGGTGGTTGGTTAACGCGTTGTGTCCCCCCTTAACAACGTCAGGTGCTTCAAAAGCAAATGGACCTGGAGCTGGAGCTCGTCTCGGACAAGGCGGAAAAATACGGGGGCCACTCGCTGGCGCGCGTCCACGTGGTCGCGTTGTGCAGCCAGCCGGTCGATCACGACAAAAGACTGATGAACGATCCGCACGAGCGGCTCTGCCAGGAGTTCAGCGACGAGGAGGAGGAGTTCAGCTCGGAGGCCGAGGCCGAGGGTAGCGACAGCGAGCCCACCCTCGAGGTCCACAGGCGGAAGAGCAGGACCAAGATACCGGCCAACGCGAGGGTACGCGAAAGCTCCTTTTTTTTTTTTTTTTTTTTTTTTCTCTACATCGATCAAGGATTCTCCGGTGTGTTTTTACATGTTTGCTTGTGTTTTGTTCCACATTTCCCTGGGGCGATCGCAGCAACGAAACCTGAAGCAGAAATTCATCGCTCTGCTCAAGCGGTTCAGGGTGTCGGAGGAACTGGAGCAAGATCAGGAGGAAATCGGCCAGAAATTAGCCAGTAAGTTTAATCGATATTTCATCATGTGTGTGTGTGTGTGGATGCACGTATAATATATGTCAGGCCGTTAATTGCTTCTCGTGATTAAATCAAAGCGTATCTACATGCTCGGTCCTTGACGAGCTTGAAATTTGATATGCGCTCATCACCTCCTGGATATGACTATTTTTTTTTTTTTTTAATAATTTTTGACGAGTAGCGTTTTGTTGAGTGGGTGAATAAAATTAAATGAATGACCTTCAGCCGACGACATGGCGATAGAGGAACTGTTCGACGAGCTGGACGACATGTCGGATAGCGGCCCGGAGTTGGACACGATGTCGGTCAGCAGTACGCCGAAGCCATCGCTGCGGCCGTTCTTCAGCTCGAGCCGGTCGCTCCTGGCACCGCCGCATTCCGGTAAACTGGCCCTCTGATGTATATATATCTCACGCTGATGCTTATCAAACTTTTTTTTTACCTATACATACATATTATGTGTCTATTGGGAAGTACTCTTTTGCTACAGCTTATTATATAATATTATACATACTTACTCTTCATCTCTCCTGTGTAATCTGTTTTTTTTTTTTTTTTTATTGCGCATATCGTTGCTACAACCGTTATCGATCTTTTTTTATTTTGTTTTTTTGTACCTCGATCTCACCACCATGCCATATACATTTTGTATTTTTTTTTTTTTTTTTTTTTTTTTTTTTTTTTTTTTTTTTTTTTTTTTT